GACGAGAGAGAGAGAGAGAGAGAGAGAGAGAGCTGAAATAATCTTTCTTCATGTTATAGTTGGCATAGAGAGTGTGAGGAGTGAGAGTTTCGTTTGTTTGGGTCTAAAAAGAGTACAAAGAGAAGATTGAAAGATTTCTTTGCTGTGTGTGTGTGTGTTTTAATGGGTTGGTCTTTATGAGCATTATCAATTTTAATCCCTCATTGATTTTGGGTTATAGTGAATCAAGTTTTTTATTCCTCCTTGCTTTGTTTAAAGAGTGCTATAGTTATGTGGGTGTTGATTTTAGATGGTAATTCGAACATGAGAAGCAGTTGTGATCAAGTTGGTAATTTTGGAAATTAATTTCTTTTTGGAATTATTAAATTTAATACATATCACAGTATTGAAATCCTTAAATTCGAAATAGTTGGATTTTGATACTTGGTTGGATAATTCATCCATTTCTAATATCAACTTTTGTGTGTGTGTGTGTGCATGTGTGCTTGTGTAAACACATATATACTGCATGTTTCTTTGGCAACTGGAGTACTTACCTGCTACTTGAGTCCATCAGTATGTAGCTAATGTGAAAATTTATGAGAATGATGTAAGGCAGAATTTTTGGAATAACTTTGTTTCTATTGGCAGAATAATGATTTTTTTTTTTTCTGTTTTCCATTTGATTCAAAGGTCCTTTTCTGAACTTTTTTGCCCATATTTTCAGTTAGGAAACTAAGAAAAAGCTTTGTCCCCCTTGCAATGAAAATTGTATGATAGAGTAATTTGACTTGATTAAAATAAAAAGTTGTTTTTTGGAAAAGGTAATCTTTGTTCTGAAATGTGTAGTGCATGACAAAAGAGTCTTTAAATTTATATGTAGAATGAAAAGGAAGCTTTAATGTGAAGAGGGTATCATTGGTTGGATTTAGTCCTTTTTCTATCTTGCTTGGTTAGCTGAATATTTATTTGTTCCTCAATCGGTTAACATCTTGGTAAGAAACCTTATATTTGGGTTGACGTAATTTCTTAGGTATATTTTAAATTTTTTGGTTTTTTTGGGTGTTTTATCAAGGAACTCACGGAAAATAAAGAAAAATTAGGAAATTATGATATTTCTTAAATATAAAAGATTGAAATGCAGTTTCTCTTTGTTCTTTGAAAATAGCTTCTGTGAGCAGATATTTTCTTAGAAATCTTTAGCTTATATTTTAAGTAGATTTATGAATTTTGCTATTGATAAACTTATATTCACTTTAGCCATAATCATTTTCAAAGAATTGCAGACAACCAAAAAAACAAGAAAAAAATAAACTGTAATATCTCATGATATTGAGTAAATTATTATTTATAACAGTATCAAGATATTTCTGCTGGACTACACACACACACTTAGGGCAATGTTTTCATGAACCACTTTTTTTTTTGGGCAATTGATATTGATATAATGAAATCCCACATTTAAACCATGTCAGAGGCCTTTGTTTGACAATGTAAACACACTTTCTCCATTCAAATGAACAATCTCAAAAAATAAAATTTAGAAAGTGCACCCAAAAAAGTGTTTTTTTTCTTTTTTTGGGTTTAGCATATTGAACATAGGCCATCCAATGGATGGGATGGTTAGATTTAGGCCATAAGGGAATTATCTTGATCCCAAATTTTGTAGATTGCCTTATCATTACCAGATAAACAATTTTACAAACTAAAATTCAGTTTTAATTCTTAAAGGTATAGGTCGAAGTATCTACCAAATGGGCAGCCTGCATTCCTTGTTGGAATGGGCCTCATTTGGAACTTTCTTGGGGTGATTTGGTTGAAGAGAGTGTGCTTGCAAAATTTGAGGTCGTACAAATACCAGTGACATGTTTTTTAGAACGTGCAATTTCATTATATTGCTATGAAACTGTTGCATGCAATTACTGCTACACACACACGTATGCATAATATATGATAAGACCATTTATTTTTGGCTCGTGACAACCACCTCTGGCCGTTAGTTGTAGAATTATTGACTAAGCTCAAAGTCCAAAGGAAAATTTCTTGAGCTTTGTGGTACACCTCAGGCCATTGGATTCCAACTCCGATGGTTAGGAGTGATTGCAACCTTCTTGTATCCTAGGTAAATGGTCTTATAGTATAAAATGATTGTGCCCTAAGAATCGACTACTATTGTTGGTGTTGTGTATCAAACTACAGCTAAGGATGGCGACACACATGTCAGGGTTTGATGCCACTGCAGATAGCCTATCTTGATAGCATCAGACTAGTAATTTTCTGTAGAGAATACTACATGTGGATAGCATATTTATATCACACATTCACTTTTTTCTTTTTAGAGTGACATATCATGCTATAACATTTTTATTGATGAGCAATAGTGATGTATTTTCCCATTGAAGTTTTTTGACATTGTGACAGGCTTCAAAGATATGTTACCTGTTTTGCAAGGACATGATGCACCAGACTGGACATATAAAGGAGAGGGAGCTGCCAATTTAGTCTTGGGTTATCGTGGTTCTTCACCTCTCTTCGTATGGCATTTCTTGGGCAATAACTGCATAGTGTATATTTCTTATGTTTCTAAAGTGCCTTGATTGAAATGAGAATGATTAGTTTCTCTATAGTTTTACATATTTGATGTTCTCAGCATATTTCTATTCCTCATCCACTTAATGTTCATTTGAAACTACATATTACCTTTAAACATCATAGACGTATTATTTTAGATCATAATCTACGGTTTATGTTTCATTTCTTATTCATTTTACTTTTCCTACATGCTTCTGGCTATTCGCTGATTAAAGGCATCCTTTACCCTTTGTCTTCTCATTTTTCTATTTGTTCTGCATTTTCTTCTGCTTGTGTTGCGAATGATGCAATGCATGGGTCCCCCATTACTTCGGTGGAGGGTGATAGTAACATAGGATTTTAGGTAATATATGTGGGTAGTAAGCTCGTACATGCTGTAAATCAGTCTCTCTGTGCCTTGATTTATGGTTGAAGTGTTGATTCATAATTTGGTTTTCCAATGGTGGCCAGGTATCCAAGCTTTGCTAGTCCTGAAGCTTGGGAGCATATGATATTTGATTCTTATGTGTGCGTTGCATCTGAAGGAGCATTTGAAGGAATTTTTTTTTTCATGTCCATTTGAAAGAGAAGGCATAGTTTTAGAAGAAAATTTCTGCAAATGAGTTACATATAGTGCTCTTCTTTTCCAGGGTGAAGACTTACTCAAAATTTGTGCACCATACTTAAAATATCATCGTGACCAAATTTTGATTTATGTATTGATTGAATCCTAATGGGATCAGCATCCTCATGTACAAGTGACCTATTTGGTTAAATTCCATTCCTAAATTTTATCTATTGTTGGTTGGTTTCTTGTCTTTTGCCATGTGGCTATTTTTGGTGATGCTTGAAAATTCCCATAACCCAACTTTCGCAGCCCATTGTGGACACACCAATTTGAAGCATGCTTTGAAAAGGGGTTAATTTTAAACAGAGATATGAACACGTAACTCAAAACAAAAGATTTTGGCAATTACAATGATCAGTTTTAGGTTAAGGCTAACTTGTTTGAAAGTTGGCTACAAGATTAGGAAACATCTAGGGAACTTTGCGTCAATCATGGTACAAGGTGAAGAGAGGATTTTCCATTAATAATTGCCCAGGAATTGCTATAAGGAGCCTTAGATTTGGAGTACGAATGCTACCCTTCTACAAGGTCCTACAATTTATCCATAATATCATTTACATTGTCTAAGCACTCAAGTATTTTGGCTTTTACGTCTTTCCTAGTCCTCCCTTATGAAGACAAATTCTACCTTGTCCAAATCTAGTGCAATGGTGGAATGTAGGAGCTACATGTAGTGAGATGGTTTGTTTGCATGTCCTTGTTAGTGACATGTACAGTCGTGGGCTTCTCATGCATTCATGTATGCCAGCTATGTAAAATTGTTGTGAATATACATAGTCTATGTTATTTTGGGTAGTTTAAATGATTTTGTTTTCTTGAGATCAGTTTTGCTCTTTCCTAATTTGGAAGGGAACTTTCTAAAACAGGGATAGGGCTTCTGCATGTGCTAATTTTCGAGTGGGTACATGTATATGACGTCTTGGGGCATTTGCTTTCCTACCTAATCAGCTTGTGGATGAGCAAATTGTGTAAATCGGATTCTATGGTTTACTCGGCTTGGGTTACAATATTGCTCATGTGAAAATCTCGTCTCGTGCTACCTAAGGTTCTCTTATGGTTCCACGATGCCGATTGCGACCTGCCACTCTCAATTATGTAGTTATATTGTTTACTCCTTTATAATGGTTCACTCCTTCAAGGTGGTCAGTTACCTTGTGGTGCAGGTGATTTGAAATCTCATGGAGTTTTGGAATTTGAATATGGCATCACTATAGGGAACGCATTAGATTTATGTAGTTGTTCACAGTTGATCACCTTCTTCATGTTCTGTATTCTGCACAGAAATTTTTGATTTAGGAAGCATTCAATGAGGTAAAAAGTGTTATTTGCTCAATGCTCATATGTTGTTTTTTCTTGGAATCTCCATTTGACCAGAGCAGAAATTGTTTATTGTTCAATCTCTATTTCAACATTAGCATTTTTACAAAGAACCAATTGCAATCATTTGTTTAGTAATGATCATGGTTCTAGAAGTGTTAAAAGTAACATATTGTTATGTATCTGGGTGGATCTACTCCTTTTGGAAGCTATTGGATAGAGTGAAAATGTCATCGTCATCATCATCATCATCATCCAAGCCTTATCTCAATGATTTGGAGTCGGCTACATGAATCATGTTCCTTCATTTTTCTCTATCAAGGCCACACCTTTAGTAAGACCAAAAGTTATCAGATCTTTTCTCACTACTTCTATCCTTGTCCATTTGGGCCTTCCCCTTGCCCTTTTAGAGCCTTCCACTTGAACCAAATCGTACGTCCTAAATAGTGTCGTATTAGGTCTACGCTTTACATGGTCAACTCACCTAAGTCTACTTTCTCTCATCTCATCACCTATTGAAGCCACACCTAAGTTCCTTTGTATATATTCATTCCAAATTCTATCATTTCTTGTCTTGCCACTCATCCATCTCAACATTCTCATCTTAGCTACACTCATCCCATGGATATGTTGTTTCTTGACTGTCTAATATTCCATCCCATAAAGCATGACTGGTCTTACAGCTGTCCTATAGAAGTTCTCTTTCAGTCTCAATGGTATGCAATGATCACATAAAACTCCCAATGCACATCTCTACTTCACCCACCCAGTTCTAATTCTATGTGCGACATCTTCTTCAATCTTTTTGTTCTCCTAAATTGTCAATCCTAGATATCATAAACAACCTCTTATAGGTATTTCTTGACCATCAATCTTTCTTCGTTTATGCTCCTATTATTACTAAATTGTATCCCGCATATTTTGTCTTAGTCTGCCTAATTTTAAGGCCTTTATATTTTAGAGCATCCCTCCAACGTTCTAACTTTGCATTGACGCCACCTCTAGTCTCATCGATCAAACTATGTCATCCGCTAACAACATACACTACCGTACCTCTTCTTATAGGTGCCTGTTTAGCTTGTCCATAACCAAAACAAATAACTATAGGCTCAGCACTAACCCCTGAGTAGGCTTATTGCCATTGAGAACTCACTTGTCTCTCCACTAGTTTGTCTGCATATTTGTTAGCGCTTCCTTGTGTATATCTCTCATTATGTCAATGTACCATCTGATAACTCTCTTTTTTCGAACCCACCAAATTAAGCCACTAGGTACCCTATTGTATGCTTTATCTAAATCAATAAAGACCATGTGGAGGTCTTTTTCTTTCGCCCTAAACTTGTCAATCAGTTGCCTAAGTGGGAAAATAACTTTGATAATTGGCCTCCCTGGCATAAAACCGGATTGATTTTCTGATACACTTGTTTCACGCCTTAGTTGTTGCGCAACCACTCTCTCCCACAGCTTCACAGTGTGGCTCATAAGTTTAATCCCTCAGCAATTCATACGATTATGTATGTCTCCTTTGTTCTTTAAATATGTATCATAATACTTTTTGTCCATTTATTTGGCATTTTCTTTGTTCTCAACACCTTGTTGAACAACGTGGTAAGCCAACATATGCCAATCTCCCCCATACACTTCCAAATATCTATTGGGATACCACCTGGTCCTAAAGCCTTTCCTATCTTCATCTTTCTCAAAGCTTCTTTCACTTTAGATATCCTAATCTTGCGAATGTAACTATGACCTCCTTCTATGTCATGGGTTCCTCTAAAAGTTATATTCCCATAGTGTTTGTTATTTGATAATATATGAAAATGAGTTCTCCACCTTTCATTGATCTCATCATCTTCACCAGGATCCTTTGGTCATCTAATGTGATCTAGATCCCTACACTTCCTCTATCTCATTTTTGCTATTTTGAAGATACCTTTTTCACCTTCTCTTGTCCCTAATTCATTCTATAGTATATTATATGTTTTAAGTTTAGCCTTACTATTTTCTTATTGCCAAGTTTTATAACATGACCGTTTTTCGCTAATAGCCTTCTAAAGCTCCTTACTCCACCACTAGGTTTCTATGTCGAAGAGCATTCTCACATGTCGTCTTTGGTGTGGTCCTTGTTAATGTGTTCTATAGAAATTGGTTTTGAACTTCAGTCTGATATGGTCATGGTGTATCTATGTGTGGATGAGTTCTCACATTAGTTTGCATACATGTTTCGATTTACAATGGCTTGCTGATTTTTAGTATTAGATTTCCTCATGCTTAACTTTAATTGTGAATGAAAAATGATAAATGTTTGAAGGTCCTATAATATTTCTGGATTGTATATTTTTGCAGGTAGGGAAAGTACTTCGTGTGCAAAAAACTTCCAAAGGAGATGCGCAATCAAAGAGCATTAATGACCCAATCTTGTCTACCCACGATCGCCTTTTATGGGGAGACATAGAGGAACTTGTTACAGCCACTTCTAAGGAAATCCTAGCCCACTCATACGTGCAGCATGTCATGAGACCCCTGTTAGCTTCTGAACATGTAGATGCAGGGGTATGGTTTGTTTTTTCTTCTTATTATTAATACTTTTATATAGAGGAGAGACTATCATACATTTCGAGATAAGTCATGAATTTCACTAACTGAAAAAAAATGTTGAACCTCAATATATACTCTTGATATATAGATTTAAAAAAGTTAATTCTTGATTATATATATATATATATATAGGGAAAAGATGGAATTAGCCCACTAGCTCATATGAACATATGAGCCCAACGTCCCAGATTGATTCTGGGCCGATTTGACGATCACGGATGTGGGTAGTGTTTGAATTTTAGTTTTTTTTTTTACAAATCCAAATCACTTGAAATTTTAGGTGTGTGGTCATCAAAATAGGTGAATCAAAAAAATATCAAAAAAATATTTTACATGAAATAAATTGACCAAAATACTCCCAAAAAGTTTCGGGGGTATTTTGTTCATATTTGTTTTTGCGAATAATTTTTTTTATATTTTTATTAGGTACGCCTCGATGAGAAGAAC